ACAACAACCTCAGGTCATCAGGCATTAGATCCTGGAGGTGGGGGTACCTGCTATAGAGCACCTTTTTTTTTTTTTTTTTGGTGAAATCGCTGACTGCTTGCCTCTATCAAAGCATTTTAGTTGCACAGAGTCGGACACAACTGAAGCAACTTAGCGGCAGCAGCAGCATACACAGTGAGTATATGTGTTTGTATATATACAATGAGTATATTGTGTATCTATATGTACAATGAGTATATTGTATATATATTAAAAATATATAACTAGGGACCTACTGTATAGCACAGGGAACTCTAAATATTCTGTAATGGCTTATATGGGGAAAAAATCTGAAAAAGATTGGACACATACATGTGTATAACTGATTCACTTTGCTGATTCATACCTGAAACTATCACTATAAATCAACTACTGTTCAGTGGCCCAGTCGTGTCCGACTCTTTGCAACCCCATGGACTGCAGCACGCCAGGCTTCATTCTCCAGGAATCTCTGCCAACACCACCCATAACAAGTTGTGAAACTGAACACATCTTCTCTCCTCCCTGCCAGCTGGCTTCCTTTAGCAACCTCCTCACCCCTGCCAGGGGATCTTCCCTCGTCACACTTACAGACAAGAGATTTGGCAATGCCCTTTTGTTCATTCATTAGTTCATTCTATAGTCAAATATTCAAACATTTTAAGTCTCTTTCTTTTTTGTAATATTTATGTATGTATTTGGCTGCACCAGATCTCATGTTACGTGCCAGACCTTTTAGTTGTAGCATTCAAATTCCTAGTTGCGGCATGTGGGATCTAGTCCCCCAATCAAGGGTCAAACCTGGGTCCCTTATATTTGAAGCACAGAGTCTTAGCCACTGGACCACCAGGGAAGTCCCAATCCCATTCCTCTTTTTTTTTTTTTTCCCCATTCCTCTTTATTTCCTCTCTCATTATGCTTCTCCTGTTATGTGCAGAACTACAAAATCCTCCTTCTCTGCTGTCTCTCCTCTCCTAGCCTCACCATCATGCTATTTCCCCCTGTATCCTTTCACCACACTGCCCAGAAGGGACAGGTGCCTTGGAGCTCAGCTCAGTGGTTTGGCTGGGGTGGGTGGGATGATAAGGATGTAAGAATTGCTCAGAGTTGGGGGACTGGTTCTATGGCAGATGCAGGCCAGGGATGAGAATTCCCCCCCCCCCCAAAAGCCGGGGGACTGGGAAGAGCTGGAAAGAGCTGAAGCTAAGAAAATCTGAGGGAAAACATGTTAGTGGAGAGCCGAGCCAGAGGCTTGGTGATAGGTGGTGCTGGAAGTTCATCCAGAGGTTCAGTGACTTTCCCTATGTGTCAGACAGGAGCCCAAACCCAAGGGTGTGGTTCCAACCTGGGGTCAAACACCTTTCTATGTTTTGGTTCTGGTGAAGCAAGGAATCAAGCTTCCATCTCTTCTGCCCTAGATTTCATCATTCAGCCCTGGGGAAAGAAAGACTTCTGTGGACCCCAGGCCAGAAACCCCAACTTTCAGAGACCCCTAATTCAGATGCTGCTGCCTTCTCATAACTGAAGCTGTTTTACCTTGGGGCTCACAGTTCTTGTCTCCTCCCTGCTCAGATGTTGCACCTTCCTGATCTTTTTCTCCTCCAAATACTTCAGAACCAGGAGTGTTTGAGAAACAACAGTCGCTGGAGAGAAGGTTAGAGAAAAATCAGTGTTTTCAGGAAACAGCCAGATTTTAGTATTTGGTACTTAGTATGTTGAACGTGGAGGAAACACTGAGGGATATGATAGAGGATGTTGGGGTGGGATGGAAGAAGGGCCTGATGAATGGGCATGAGGTCAAGGCTGTACAGTGGGAGGGTTTGGGGGTGTTGGGTTTTTTCCCAAGGTTGTACTGCCCTTCCTAGCCCAGTTGCCCTCCTAAAGAAGTTCAGCCCAGTCCTCTCATTTTAAGGCAACGAGGTTTGGGTTCAGAAGGGAAAATGCTGCAGAGTCTTCTTTTCTCAGTCACAGGTTCTGAGTCTAGGATAAAGTCTGAAGGGTTTTTTTTTTTTTTTTGGCCATGCAGCAGCGATCTTAGCTCCCTGACCAGGATCAAACCTGTGCCCCCTGCAGTGGAAGCGCAGAGGTTTAACCAACCACTGGAACACCAGGAAAGTCCTCTGTGGGGTTTTTTTTGTCAGCTCCAGACATAGCCTTTTCCTATTGGAACCCTCCTGGTATGGGGACATCACCCTCGAGGCAAGCCATTTTCCTGAGGCTTCCATCTGCTGGGCCCAGTTTTACCGATGCTATCTTGAGCTGCCTGCATTCTGGAACTGTCTTTTCCTAAAGAAACCTCGCGTGGTGCTGAAAGGGCTGAAAGGAGATACCTAACATCCAAGGTCAGGAGTGGCGGCCATGAGGAGATACCCCTCGTCCAAGGTAAGGAGCAGCAGCTGAGCTTTGCTGGAGCCGCCGTGAAGAGATGCCCCACGTCCAAGGTAAGAGAAACCCCAGTAAGACTGTAGGTGTTGAGAGAGGGCATCAGAGGGCAGACAGACTGAAACCACAATCACAGCAAACTAGCCAATCTGATCACAGGACCACAGCCTTGTCTAACTCAATGAAACTAAGCCATGCCTCGTGGGGTCATGGTGGAGAGGTCTGACAGAATGTGGTCCCCTGGAGAAGGGAATGGCAAACCACTTCAGTGTTCTTGCCTTGAGAACTCCATGAATAGTATGAAAAGGCAAAAAGATAGGACACTGAAAGTTGAACTCCCCAGGTCGGTAGTTGGCTGATATGCTACTAGAGATCAGTGCAGAAATAACTCCAGAAAGAATGAAGGGATGGAGCCAAAGCAAAAGCAACACCCAGTTATGGATGTGACTGGTGATAGAAGCAAGGTCAAATGCTGTAAAGAGCAATATTGCCTAGGAACATGGAATGTTAGGTCCATGAATCAAGGCAAATTGGAAGTGGTCAAACAGGAGATGACAAGAGTGAACATCTACATTTTAGGAATCAGCGAACTAAAATGGACTGGAATGGGTGAATTTAACTCAGATGACCATTGTATCGACTACTGTGGGCAGGAATCCCTTAGAAGAAATGGAGTAGCCCTCATAGTTAACAAAAGAGTCTAAAATGCAGTACTTGGATGCAATCTCAAAAATGAAAGAATGATCTCTGTTCGTTTCCAAGGCAAACCATTTTATATCAGGGTAATCCAAGTCTATGCCCCAACCAGTAACACAGAAGAAGCTGAAGTCGAACGGTTCTATGAACACCTACAAGACTTTTTAGAACTAACACCCCAAAAAGATGTCCTTTTCATTATAGGGGACTGGAATGCAAAGGTAGGAAGTCAAGAAATACCTAGAGTAACAGGCAAATTTGGCCTTGGAGTGCGGAATGAAGCAGGGCAAAGGCTAATAGAGTTTTGCCAAGAGAACACACTGGTCATAGCAAACACCCTCTTCCAACAACACAA